TCAGGTTTCAACAGATAACAAAACTAACTGTCAAGTAATTGACGTTTAACCTTATCCTGCTTTCAATTTCAAAACTATTTGCAGGCACAGCCTACTTCTAAAAATTATCGAGATACTGACTTTTTAACGTTATTTTATCATAAATAATTAAAAATGCATCGAACCTTAAAAATCGGAATACACTACAGGTACAGTAGAGAGCGCCCTCTAGCGGCTACAGTAAAACCATGCCCATGGTTCGTTTTATCGTACCAAAAAACCTTTGTATTCACTGTTATATATTAAATATTGTTCGAAATGTTTAGAAAGTAACTTTAAACACCCTTGTATTTCGGAAGCCACGCATTTTTCGACCCATGTTTATATAGACTTTATGCATTAATTTTAAAAGTTCTATCAAATCTTAAAGTTATGCAACAATAAACTGTATATTACTGCAGTTTTATTAATTTAACCTATCAATTCGTTGTTCAAAGAAAAGTTTTGTTTTGGCTAGATTCGAGTTCAGAGAAGCTGCCGTATTTATTTATTTATTTATTTATTTATTTATTTATTTATTTCCAACAGGTGAAACCCAATTACAGGAAACGCTGAAAAAAATAGCAATTAAAGAGACATGGTTCTTGGACTTAAATCTATAGTATCACACATTCTAAATAAGATTGGATGATCTATAACAGTTAATAATCGTCGTACAACTGTCACTGTAAATATCACACGATTCAGTAACACTGTTCATGACGCAGCACATGAAATTAATTGGCGATTTTGTCATAACATTTGTACGGCCAGCTTGACAATAGAATGCCATTTGTTGTCGACTCCCTAGCCTTGGAACGCGAAAACATATTTTTTCAAGTAAATTTTGACAGTCAATTTTGTTGTGAATGAGGCCATACAAAAACGACAAAGCAAATATGTTTCGTCTTGTTGACAGTGAATCCAAATTGAAAGACTCTAATAGGGCACTATGGTCACAACCTCTTTCTGGATAAGAACCTGTGCATTTAAGGTGAAAATACTTTAAAGCTTTACGTTGAATGGCGTATATTTCTTTTACGCTTTTTGTTTGACTATTTTGTGCGAAAAAAATTGACCATGTTAACGAAAACAATGAACATATTATGGACATAATACTAACATATGGAGGGTGCTAACAAAATGCAGCCGCAGCGTGCATGTTGTATGCGGAAAAGTTTCCTTTAAGAAATAATCCGGCCTCACGGATGTTTGTAAATTTAGTTATTAGACTTCGTGACATAGGATATTGAAAAGAACAACGAGGAGGTTTCGCTCGAAGACCTGCTCAGCCTGAAATGTTACAAATTGAGGAAGGCATTTTATAAATGGTCGAAGACGACCCAACAATGAGTACTAGAGCCATAGCAGTTGAAGTTTCTCATAGGAAGACAATATGACAAGAACAGTATTATCCTTATCATTATCTACGGGTACAAGCGTTACAACCTCAAGATCATCCAAGAAGAGTTGCAATTTGCTAGTGGCAGAAATGAAGATTTATTCGAAATTAATTTTGTGTACAGAGGAGGCCACATTCACCCGAAACGGAGTGCACAATTTCCACTACAATGAAAATTATTTAGATTTTTTTCGACACAATCTGCCACAACTCGATTTGTTATATTTGATAACAGCATATACAATTTTTTCCTGGGGGCTTAATTTTGGCTTTGTCACATTCAAAACGCGAAGGAGTTCGACCAACATAGAATGAAAACTTTCTACGATCGAATTGCTATTAGGATTGTTTAGTAATATGTCATGCCAATTGATACTGTACGGTTTCGAAAAATCTTTCAGAAGAGTCTGTGTGATTTCTGTACCGTTATCAGAAACAATGTCTTCAGAAATTTTATACGAAGAAACAAATTGTAAGATGCTTTGGTAAAGATGCACGGTAGATAGACTTTGTAAAAAGTAGGCTTGTGCACATTTCGAAAAACTATCACGAATTGTCAAAATAGTGATATACTCAAATTTGAAAATACGAGTACATAAAAATTGTTTTGAATGTTACTCCGTCATCGCACGGTTGTGACACCCTGTATATGAGCTGCACTGAATGTATACAGGGTGTCGTTGAAGTTGGGAGTTTCCTTTACATGGCGTACAGTTCGTGTAATAACAAGCAAAACGTTCCTAACAACGCATAAACCTTAATACAACCGAGATACTGAGTTCTGGGAATCTGAATGAGCCTGATCCAGCTTCCAACGTGGAAAGGTATAACGTGCCTCAGTATCCAAATCAGGTGCGGCATGGTGTATACGATTATGTTACCCTACTCATAAATCGGATTTGAAAAACCGAAATTCTCACATTCATACAACAATAAAGCAGTTATCGGTTTGATGTTAGCTTACTCTGAACGTCTTCAAGATGCTATTGATACTTCGTTGATGTTTTAAATCGAACATCACAAGTTAGCTTTGTTATTTCAAATGTAGTTGTTCTTGAAACGAAAATCCGAACACTCAGGAAACACTCATTACTGATTCTGCGAATGAACTATAACGAAAAAGATGTTTATTAGAATCTAGAGACAAGCAACAAAGTATCCATGGCTACTGGTGAGGCCACTGCATTTCGTACGAACTCCAACAAGAAATAAGTGATTGGAAAACCTGAAGAAATACGTTAAAAGTGTTCAGTGAAGATGCAGCTTCTAACAAAATATGCTTAAGATGCTTGAAAATAATTCGAACGGGTGATTTGAAACTGTTTGATAAACCACGCTGAGAGCGATCTTTTTTGATCGGCAACAACAATGCCCTAGGAAACTAGAACTTCATGAAACAACCTCGTATATCTGTGCTTAGGCAACCAGAATATAGGGACGTCATCGAAAGTGTTCACCTCCCATTGAGAAGCATCGACCGGCATCCAGACAACTTCGACGAAGGCTCTCGCTCTGTCTAGAAACCGCGGAATGCATCTGGGATTCGTCGATTTGAAATAAATACCCGCAGACGGCGGAATGGAGTGGAGAGTCGGCAGTGGACGATGAGTCAGCAACAGCGCTGAGTCAGCATGGAATAGTCCAGTCGATATAGTCATAAATTTATAATAAATCAGTAGCAAATACATATTGTGATAAATTGGCGTCAGAATATTAAATTAGAATTCAAATAGAAAACACCGTATTTTAAGTACCACTACGTGCAGAGTTAGCAGGCTTGCACTCTAAGCCGATGATGTTTTACGCCGCGGAAACAGTCTTCTTCCACCTGTAAAGGCGGCTACAGACACACGCTTATGACTTAATACATAAACGCGCGTTCATAAACGCGCACTCAATAACGTCAAGGTGTATGCAGATATCGGCAGCGTTCATGAACGTGCGTTCACGATTGGCGTGGCGTGCAAATTTCAGTTCTCGACAGAAATTTTAAACGCACGTGCAGAGACGCGCATGCAAGTCTCAACGTGTGGAGGCAAAAGGACTTGCGAATTCCGCAGACAATCAGAGGTCAGTGCCGTATTATCTTCGAGTAACTAATTTTTATTGATTGTAGAAATGTCTGGCATCAAAACAGTGACTCGAGACTTCACCAGAGAATTCATTGAATTGTACAGGGCACATACTTGTCTCTGGCAAACGAAAGCAAAATAAATATCTAGATAAAAATTTTAAAAAATGCAGCATATACATTGTTAAAGGGAAAGTTACAAAGTAATCAACCTAATGCTACAAAACAATCAGTCATAACAAAAATTAATACTCTGCGTGGTGGTTTCCGAAGAGAACATAAAAAAGTACGAAATTCGAAAAGAAGTGGATCTGCGTTGGAAGATGTATATGTGCCATCCCTGTGGTATTACGAATTACTGTTATTTCTTAAAGATCAAGGGATCCCAGGACAGTCTGTTTCAAATATTGAAAGTGAAGAAGAAGTGCATGACGACGTGGAAGAGACGCAAATAGATGAAGAGGACAATGGAAGACAGGTAGGTCAATAAATAAATAAAGTATATGTTTAATATTTATTTACTGATATGTAAAAAGTAGGTGGTTGCAGCAGCTAACTTTAATTTTTAAGTGATAATAATTCAGAAAACTACTTCTTAAACTGACAAAAAAAGCAAAAATTTGGATTGTTATGACTGCACCATTAATTATTATTGTATCATTCGTTCTTGCCAACTCAGAGCCCCTTCATTAAAAAATTTAGTGAACTCTCGACGCACATGACTTGCTTCGCTACTGAAGTTTCTGCTATGGCTACGTGGCAGGTTTGCTAGTTGCTTAGGATTTGCTCTAAGCCCCATTTGCACCGTTCCGTCTGTACGATTTTCTTGATCTAAAGAATCCAATGGTGTGTAAGATTTGCGTCTTAAGAAATTATGCAGGACGCAGCAAGCCATTACGACCTTGTCTATCGATTCTATCTGTAGACTGATAGCTGACTGAAGTATTGGAATCTTGCTGATAGTATGCCAAATGAATTTTCAATTTTGCATCGTGCCCTTGATAAGCGATAATTATAAATTTTTCGATCATGATTCATGTCGTTTTGACTGTAACGTTTTAAGAAATCACTACGTAATGCAAAAGCTTCATCTCCAACGATTACAAATGGTAGCTCTCTGTCACTGTTTCGTGCACAAGTTGCAGATGGCAGCTTTAATGTTTTATTTAGAATTTTGTGTAGAAATGAGTGCATGCTATGACTCCTCCATCCGGTATTCGACCGTTGGTACCAAAATTACACATTGAAAATTCATAATTTGCATTACATATAGCCATGAGAACTAAACTGTTATAACCCTTGTAATTATAATAAAATGCTCAGCTGCCCGGTGGTGATTTGATTTGAACATGGTTGCCGTCTACAGCTCCTATACAATTAGAAACTTTGCAAACTTCTTCAAAGCCTTCAGAGATACTTTTCCATTCTGTTTCTGTTGTAGGAAACTGTAAAAAATGTCAATTATAAAATATATAAATATATAATATAACATGTGTGTATTATTTTCAGGCAGGTGATGCCGTATCTGAACAAACTGAAATGGAGGCACATTCAGAACATAATATGGCGAGCACAGTCCAGTCGATCATCACCATCTTTACCCAAAAGGTCCAAAAAAATTCAAAGCACACCACCAAAGCATTAATAAAGCACATCAGACATTAGACATTGTCGGTACACGACTCAATAAACCGGCAGACGAGTTCGACCTGATGGGAAAATCGATTGCAATCAAATTACGGCGATTGCCAAGAGAAATACGACTACTCGTATATTCAAAAAAATTAACAAACGATATCCTATTTCAAACGGAGTTAGGAAAAGTTAACGAACATACCAGAATAACTTCCGAACCCAATCAACTCCAACCAACACCAATTAATAATAGTAATACATTATTCCTTCCGCCACCAAACTGTGATCCCATCTGGACTCAGTCTACACCAACCAACCAACCAACAACAATTAATAATAGTAATACAGCTGCTGTGTATTACGGCTCTTATAATCCTTTACAATAATTACTAATATACTGTTATGATTATGTTTTTCGCTATTTAATGAAAATATATTTTATGTTTTTCTTACCTTCATGTATTTTGCTGTAGTACTTGGTATATAGATGAGCATGTTTCAGGAATTATTTCGCTCAACGCTAGCGGAAATATTATTGTGGAAAATCTTAAATCGTCATAATTTCGTCCAGTCGCCAAATATCGAAGGGTTGCAGTTAACCGTTCGTGTGCACTTATTGCAGATCTCATAACTGTGTCCTGACGTTTTATTAGTTAAGTAACCATTTCTAACAATTCTACATAGGTATCCTCATCCATTCGTAGATAATTACGCTAGTCATCGGGTTCTCCTTTCAATTCTTCCAATAAGTTAATATGTGAAAATGACTGCCTTTTCAAAAGTCATTCCTTAGACCACAGGCGACGACGCTTTTTCGACTATTCGGCGCTTTTTAAAACGTAATCGCACGGCACTGCCATAACAGCAAGCTCTTCATCGGACGACATCACAACTGTTTTCGTCGCGCACACCGATTAAAAGTAGGTAGAAAAGTTTTAGCGTCTGTGCAATTCGTGTCGATGCATGCACGTTAATGCATGCGCGTTCATGAATTCAGTCATCAGCGTGCGTCTGTAGCCGCCGTAAAGCAAGAAACTGTATATATGGTAAAACATCGAGAGCCATCTGGTAATGAGCTGTTGTTGCTGACTGAAAATCTACATTCAGAGAGGCATTGTCAATACTTAGATATATTTCAGTAAGCACACTAAGGAAAGAGAGCGGCGATTAGTAGACAGAACAATAGACTACTGCATTAAAATGTCAGACCACTTACTGCTTTGAAGGGCAAAAGATTGCAGAACTAGGCCGGGAAACTATCTCACATCTTTCATACTCAAAATAATATAGTCATAGATTTCTAATAAATTAGTTGCAAGTATTGTAATAAATTGGTATGACAGTATTAAATTAGACTTCAAATAGAAAACTCCGTACTACAATGTAGAGAGTTAGCAGGTTTACACTCTAAGCCGAGGATGTTTTAAACCGGGAAAGCCTGCTTCTTCCACCTCTAAAGCATGAAAATGTTGTATACATGGTAAAACATTCGAGAGCCATCATGGCCGGTCATGAGCTGTTGAAACTGAATGAAAAGCTACATTTGGAGAGGCATTGTCAACAGTTAGATGTATACTCAGTGGCATTAGAAGTGTTACACCCAGAAAAATGATTTCTTCAATTTGATTTTTTGCCAATGAGGTAGTCTGAATCAAGAACGAAACGATAAAATTCTCACGAAATGTTATTGACAAGTAATTAGACAAAAAAATAATAATGTGCTGGGCAATCCCGCAGCTGAATACGCTCCTGTATATGTCTATCGACAAAATGAGATGATCGATGTCTATTTGTAGCACCTCATTCCAAGGAACTCGAACTTCGTGGATTAGCTGTGGCAGAGTCTGTGGCGGAAACTGCAAAGTGGATAGTCTCCTACCCATCATATCCCACACATGTTCGATGGGATTTAAATCCGGTGAACGGGGGGGGTGGCCACGGCAAAACATGAATACCTGCTTCTTGAAGAAAGTCTGTAGAACGACGAGCAATATGGGGACGTGCGTTGTTTTTCTGAAAAAGGATGTGTGGCCTAGATACAGCAGTGAAGTGGTTTGGGGGACATCAACAACATAACGCGCAGAAATCATATTGCCTTGAACAAAGAAGAGGTGATCGGCTACCATAGGTAGTAGCCCCCAAACCAATGCTCCAACAGTTCTGTGTACATGCCTCTCAAGGGCAAATCTAATATCACGCCCGTCCGCATCAGAATCGCTGAAGAAGACATTATGCCATTCTGTCTCCAAATGTCGTCATTCTCTGCTCCAGTTCAAACGTTGATGACAGTGGTTCACAATCAGAGGAAGCACTAACCGTGGATGGTACGCATAGTAACAGGTCTACCTTCTTCTCCAAAGAATTGGTCAGCGATCTGACGCGTAGTAGAAAACCGGTCTCGTGAGGCTAGTATCTGAATCGCCTAGCTTGACGCACTATGGTACGCCCCGGCGGACCAGATGGCCTTAGTGCTCCTCTATCGACACACGACACACACGCATTACCATCATTGCACTACAATTAACACGGCGGCCAATTTCGCGATACGCAATATTTTTACCCCTGTCAAAGTCGCTAACATGGTGATAATTTGGACGTCTTCGAATTCGAGGCATCTTGTTATGCTCAACACTAGTAAATGGAAGGACAATAACTAAAAATATCTGTACTACTCGGCTCTCAGTAACAGCTTTCTTAACAAAGACTAAGAGAAAATAGGCTTTAAAAAAGGTAAACAAAAACAAAGATAAAACGTTGACATTGTTGCCACAGCATGCTTTAAATATAGTCATTATATTGCCAAGCAGTGACCTGTCACCTGATGACTTTAATAATTTTTTTTAACATAGTAGGTAATATAGTAAATCACATCCCTGATGTACATTTAGATCCTGTAAATAATATTGATTTCCTGGTACCGCCACCTCTGTTTTCTTTTTCTGAAGTCACATTTAACGAGGTTCGCGATGTAATGGTTAATCTCAAAAATAAAAACAGTAAAGATATTTTTGGTTTCAATTTAAAAATTGTAAAATGTATAAAGAACATAATTCTGAGCCTTCTAACACGACTGATTAATATTTGTCTTAGAGAAAATATTTTTCCAACTGTTCTAAAGAGAGCTAGTGTCACATCTATTTTTAAGAACGGCAATGCTGACTCACCAGAGAACTACAGACCTACATCCCTTCTTCCAGTTATATCGAAGATCCTTGAAAAATGTATGGCTTTGAGACTGGTAACCTTTCTGGAGGCAAATGAATTGTTTTCACAATATCAGTTTGGTTTTCGCCAGGGTAAGAGCACTGTTATGGGTGTACTTAACCTGATTTCTTCTATAATTGATGCTTTCCATGGAGGAGGGTATAACACGGTTCTTTTCTGTGATTTTAGTAAGGCATTTGATTGTGTGAGCCATGACATCCTTTTAAAAAAGCTCCATGCTTACAACTTTAGTTATGATTCCGTTAAACTAATTGAGTCTTACCTTAGTAATAGAACTCAGTTGGTGAGATGTCATGGAGTGACATCAGCGGAGCGAGGTGTTAATATTGGCGTCCCACAGGGCTCCATCTTGCGCCCAATTCTTTTTTTAATTCACATAAATGATTTACCTCTCAATAACAATATGGCAAACTTTACTCTCTTTGCGGATAATACGACCGTCTCTCACACCGCTAACAGTTTTGAGCGCTCAATGGCACAGTCTCTGGCTGCGCAGGTTGGGGCTGAGCTGTGGTTTTGCTTCAATAAGCTGCTGCGAAATAAAGATAAGACAAAGAGAATGGTGTTCTCCATGCGAAGCCTGCCTGGAGACAGTGATTTGGTTGGTGAAGCCAAGTTTCTGGGGGTTACTTTGGATCCAAGATTGCAATGGGGCCTTCACATTAACAGTGTTGCTGGAAATGCCACCAAAGGTATATATGTGTTACGGAATCTGTCTTCTTGTGTTTCTGTAGCCATATTGAGAATGGCTTACTTTGCCATTTGCCATTCACATATATTTTACGCCATTCTGGCTTGGGGGCATTCTTCAGGGGTCCATAGACTGTTCACCTTGCAAAGAAGAGCAGTTAAGGTTGTGAGCCGTTTGGGCTACAGGGACGATTGCAGAAATACCTTTGTCAAGTTGGGAATCCTTACTGTGCCTTGTTTATATATTTTTGAAAATCTACTATTCGTTAAAAGAAACTCTAACTATGTAACTCATGGGGACGTCCATGAGCACAATACTAGGCATAAGAACAATCTAGTACCTCCTTATTGGCGACTGAGAAGGTGTCAAGATGGACCTGGTTATTGGGCGGTCAAATTTTTTAATGTACTTCCAGACGACCTAAAATCGCTTCCGTTTAAAGATTTTAAAGTTCAAATCAAGAAAATTCTTATTAATTTACACGTTTAAAGCGTTTTTAAGACATAAATTGTAACTATAAATCTTAATATGTTATGTAAGCGTTATATCTCTATGAGTGCTGGTGTACTTGTTTGTAATTTTTTATGATCATTAGCACTCCCTTTGTTTTAATTCTAATGCAATTCTCATTTGATCTACTGACGTATGTAAACATATTTTATGTATTGTGACACGAATAAAGAATTTCAATTTCACAAAGACTAGTTCAAGAAATTATTTTTTCTGGGTGTAACATTTCTAATGTCACTGAGTATATTTCAGTCAGCACACTAAGAAAAGAAAGCGGCAATTAGTACTCGTAGAAAGAACAACAGACTACTGCATTGTACACTCAGACCACTTACTGCTTTGTAAACCAGTCAAAGAATTGCAGATCTAGGTCGGGAAACTATTACATTCCTCATAGTCTCCAGACCTAGTACCCTTCGATTATCATCCATTATACAGTTTTCTGTAGGGTGAAAATAAAAAGTGGTTGATCAATTTTTCACACCCCGATATAAGACACTTGGTAAAAATTGTATACACAGTTTGCTATTATATTACTCGACAGAGTTTATGCAATGAACAAAAAAATATGTTGTTATAATCTAAGAACTGACAAAATATCGACTACTGAATAGAATATTTTAGTAATACAAACCTTTTTCTCATTCCTGTTTTCTCCCTGACAGGCATGTAATAGTAAAGAAAAAGTATATCAGGTCACATTCAAACCTGAATTATTGCTGCGTACTAGCAAGTGCAAGATAGCGACGCATTTCTGAACGTAAGTATAATGACTTCGAGAGTGGGTCAGATGATCCGTATTATGTTATACAGGGTGTAAACGTTATGGTAGTCATTATTTAAATGGGTGATAGAGGAGGTTAAAAGAAGCAAAAAGTTTCCTATAACATGGAGGTCAAAACGGCATTTATTTAGAGAAAAGCGACTTTAAAGAAAAATATAATCTGACAACGCCGCAATGCCAGACGCAAATTACGACGGAACGCAGTGTAAATAAAGATGGAGTTTGTTATTTTTGGCTCCTAGGTATTATTTGATTATTTGATAATGTACTACTGTAAAATGCAAACAACTAAAAAAAAACGGACTTACCACTAACTGTGTCAGCGCTAGACCTGGTATGTGAAAGTTTATTGAACGTATTAAAAAAATACACTTATAAATAGGGAACACAATTTTGATACATACATTGTTTTTCTTTTTGAAACCCACGCTGTACCTTTTTGGTATTTAAAGGTGTTCAAAATGTCGTCCTCCACTTTCCACACAAGCTTCATTACGACGAAGTTTCTTCTTACTCTAGGTCCTCGAAGTTGTCCATTTATTATGTCAGCTGTATTAAAATTTTTTTCGCGAAGTTGTGCTTCAATTATTATTAGACCAGTCCCATAAACCATCCCTTTAAGTTCTCCCCGATACCAGAAATCCATCGGATTGAGGTCAGGTGATCTTGCTGGCCATTTTCGAGGATCAGGAGCATTTCGACCGATCCAGCGATTTGGATAATGTTCATTCAAATACTGAATGACGCCTCTAAAAATGTGTGGTGGTGCCCCGTCATGAAGAAACCGCAAATTCTGTCTCCGTTGTAATGACATGTCGTCTAAGGTTTGTTCCAAAAGTTCTGGTAGGTTATTGGCTAGAAAGCTAAGGTAACCTTCTCCTAACAACTTTGGGGGTAATTCGAAAGTGCCAATTATCTGATCGTCAAGAATACCCGCCCAAATATTTATTTTAAAACGTTGTTGGAAATGACCTGCACGAATGGTATGAGGATTTTCTTGGGCCCACGTGTGGGTATTATGAAAATTTAATATCCCGTCTCGCGTAAAAGTACATTCCGTCGCTAGAATGTTTTTAAAAAAATCCGGATTTTCAATGTTTTGTCCAAAAACCACTGACAGAATGTTAGTCTGCGAGGGTAGTCTTCTGGTAACAACGCCAGCACTCGTTGTACATGGTAGGGATAAAGCAAATTTTCCCGAAGGATTCTATGGACTATGGTATGCGATAGTCCTACGCGCCGGCCAAATTCCCGAGAGCTAATATCTGCATTGATTTCCACGATAATTAAAATTTGTTCCTCCCGATCTACAGTATCCTGTCTTTCACGAGTGCGAATATTAGCGGGCTGAACACTTCCTGTATCTCGAAGTCTTTGGTACACTTGCACAAATGTCCTTCTGTCTGGGTGTACCCGTTGGCGAAATCTGTCGCGATAAATTTGAGCTGCAAGATTTGAATTCTGATGAGCTTCACCGTACAATAACAACATGTCGGCGAGCTCTTGATTCGAGAACATTATAAATAAACATAACGACGTACGCGAACAAAAACAAAACAACACCCCCGAACCACTACTACCGTTTGCGATCGATTGCCGGTTCGATAAGAGTGATGAAAGACCGACGCGCTGTTTTAAGTATTTAATTTAATGAAACTTACTTACTGACTACAAATTTTTTCTTAACTTAGAAAAACTTAATGCCATTTATTTGTTAATTACCCAATTTAAAAACGTTTTAGATTAGATTATAAAAATTAGTAAGATTGTGGTGATTGTGGGCGATATAAATCTCTTAAAGTTGTAAACTATAAAGCCATTTAGACAAAAATCTATTGACTTTTGGACCATGGGTCATATGAACTTTTTGACTTGTTTTGACCCCCACCCCCCCTATTACCCATTTCAGTTATGACTACCATAACGTTTACACCCTGTAGAATGATCGTTTCCAATGGATCGCCCATTTCTTTATACCTTAATAATTCTTGACTATAGGAAAAAATTCTGAAGTGTTTCCTAAAACAGACTCCCGTTTCTCCGGCGTCAAAAAGTGAATAGGAACTAGATTAGTATGATACTTAATTTACTCACTCTTCTCGCAGTTTCATGTTGATGAATGGTAGGTCATTTGCATTGAAAACTGCTCTAAGCTCGCCAGCTTCTAACATCATCAGCCTTCCAAAAGCGGTACCGACAGCTAGCCTGTCTTGAGATAACCAGCAACAGCTTGTGTAAACTATGTATTCGACTTTACCGTATCCAAACTGTCTCCAAGTAAATTCCTTAAAAAATTACACGGTGAAAATTAAATCTATCGCGACTTTGCTGTTAAACAATTGAAATAAACGTTTAGCAGTCCCACTTGGGGATCAAAAAATTTTACTCCTTTGTTAAAAATGACGATCGTTAAGTAATATTACTATTTACTGAAGCATGCATTTACAACGATATAGTAGAAATGTTCTCACCGAGCATCCCAAACATCGAAGTACTGAGTCTCCAATGACAACTAGCTGATTGGGATCATTTGGATTGCAGGCGACCTAAGCAAACAACAAAACTTTCATTAGACATTCGCAATGAAACTTATTGGTGTTATTCCGTATTTTGATTATACTGGAAATGAGTTCTGAATTTGCAAAACCAGTGACGGTAATGTAAGTGACATTGGTCAATTTGATCAATTGATATTTTCTTGGAACTTCTTATCACTAAAGGCAGGTCACCAACGCACTCCAGGTAACCTTGTTGTCGATCTCATATTTTAATCGTATACTAAGTGACATATAAATCCGAACACCCAGTTTAAATGGTTTTATTTTAATAAAAGTTTGTGAATGTATTTATCTTACTGTAAGTAACAAGTGAAAAAATGTCCAGCCTTATCAGTTGGACATTCCGGTGTTTATACTGCTTTTTTTAATTCACTAACGCTCTAAAAATGAATATTTCAGCCGCAGTAAAGAACCAACGTTGGCGGATTTTGGTTCTTGACATCCTTTACGATCGGTTACGATGGCTAGAGTACGGAGACCTATACGATTTCGTCAACTTAGTGAGTTTGATAGGGGCCGTATAGTGGGACTTCGGGAAGCTGGACATTCTTTTCGGGCAATTGCAGTTACAGTGCCAAGAAGTGTAGACACTGTGGTTAGGTGTTGTGAGGCATGGCTTCGAGAAGGCCGTACGCAAAGAGCAAGGGGCACTGGACGCCGCCATAGAAGAACAGACCGTGAAGATCGCCGCCTAAGATTATTGGCCTTAAGGGACCGTTTCTCCACTACCAGGTCCATTGCAAATGAATGGTTTGCAGAACACGGAAGACCTATTGGCATGCGAAGTGTTTACCGACGAATGAGAAGTTTTGGCTTGTTTTCATACCGGCCACACTGGGTCCTCCCTTTAACTCGAGAACACCGACGTAATCGCCTTGAGTGGTGCAGACAACGGTCACTCTGGGATCGGGAATGGAACAGTATTGTCTTTAGTGACGAGTCTCGATTTTGTTTAGGCATGCACGATGGTTGTGCCAGGGTTAGAAGGCGACGTGGTGAAAGGAGGAATCCACAGTTTTTTGTTGAAAGTCATGTTCATCACACTGTTGGAGTTATGGTTTGGGGTGCTATAGCTTATGGTTCCAGGTCACCTTTAATCTTCATCAGAGGTAACATGAACGCGCAGCATTATATCCACGAAGTTATAGAACCCCATCTTTTTCCCTATCTTGACACCCTGGCAGATCCAACTTTCCAACAAGATAATGCCCGACCACATGTTGCAAGAGTCACAATAGACTTCTTTCAACATAATCATGTCACATTGTTACCATGACCACCAAGATCTCCCGACTTATCTCCAATTGAGCACGTGTGGGATATGATGGGTAGGAGATTGCTCAATTTGCAACGTCCTCCTCACACTCTAGAAGCACTTCGAGAGTAGTTCGTGGTTGCCTGGAATGAGATACCACGGGAGGACATTGACCACCTAATCAGAAGCATGCCTAGGCGCGTTGGAGAATTCGTAGCACATCAGGGTGCATCCACACATTATTAAAGGTCAAAGGGCTTTAAAGCAGTGCAATCATTTTGAAATTTTTATCATTTACTTATTATGCTTCATTAAGTACTTATACAAAATTTTATTAAAATAAAACCATTTAAACTGGGTGTTCGGATTTATATGTCACTTAGTATATTTTGAATAGCATCGATGTACTCACTTGGCACAACTTCATAGTTTACAACATATTTTTAGTAACTTAACACTGTGACGTTCATTTACTCCACAAAACAACAGTTGTAGCTCAAATTGAAGACTGAAGCAAACATCGAACGAAGTATCTAGTTAGTCATACCTTTCTTTCGAAAATCGCCGTTGAGTTAGAGATATTCTCACCTGTGTAACAGTTCCTGTAGAATTCGTATTATTTGCTCTAGCGAAGCTATCTAATCTTCCTTTGTCACATTTAAAGCAATACAAGCTGAAATCAGGCTCTCCAGTGACCAATACGATAAATTTTGAGTCAAATGTGAAATCCACTGCAACAAATCTGTTGCAATATATGTCTTTGTCAGATGGAAGCGTCAATGTTTTCTTCTTCCTGCATAAATCCGGGTCCCACAACGTACATATGGGGTATTTGTCTGTCGTTTCTACAACTGCTATCATCTTTCTGTAAGTATTATACAGGGTGTGAACGTTATGATAGTCATTATTTCAATGGGTGATGGAGGGGGTTAAAAAGTAAAAAGTTTCATATAACATGGAGGTCAAAACGGCATTTTTTTAGAGAAAAACTACTTTAAAGTAAAATAAAATCTGACAACGCCGCAATGCCAGACGCAAATTACTACGGAACTCAGTGTAAATAAACATGGAGTTTGTTATTTTTGGCTCTTAGGTATTATTTCATTATTTGATAATGTACTCGTAAAATGCAAACAAGTTACCACTAACTATCTCAGCGCGTCACCTGGTGTGTGAAAGTTTATTGAACGTATTAAAAAAATCCACTTATAAACAGGGAACACAATTTTGATTCATACACTCCTTTTATTTTTTAAACCCATACTGCACTTTTTGGTATTTAAAGAAGGTGTTGAATGTGTCGTCCTCCACTTTCTACACAAGCTTCATTATGACGAACCCAGTTTCTTCTTACTCTAGGTTCTCGAAGTTGTCCATTTATTATTTCAGCCGCATTATATTTTTTTTCGCGAAGTTGTGCTTAGTTGTTATTGAACCAGCCCCATAAACCATCCCTTTAATATCTCCCCAATACCAGAAATCCATCGGATTCAGATCAGGAGATCTTGCTGGTCATTTTCGAGGATCAGGAGCATTTCGACCGATCCAGCGATTTGGATAGTGTTCATTAAATACTGAATGACGCTTCTAAAAATGTGTGGTGGTGCCCCGTCATGAAGAAACCACAAATTCTGCCTCCGTTGAAAAGGCCTGTTCCAAAAGTTCTGGTAGGTTATTGGCTAGAAAACTAAGGTATGCATCTCCAGACAACTTTGGAGGTAACTGGAAAGGGCCAATTACCTGATCGTCAAGAATACCCGCCCAAATATTTATTTTAAAACGTTGTTGGAAATGAGCTGCACGAATGGTATGAGGATTTTCTTGGGCCCACGTGTGAGTATTATGCAAATTTAATATCCCGTCTCGCGTAAAGGTACATTCCGTCGCTAGAATGTTTTTAAAAAAATCCGGATTTTCAAAGTTTTGTGCAAAAACCACTGACAGAATGTTAGTCTGCGAGGATAGTCTTCTGGTAACAACGCCTGCACTCGTTGTACGTGGTAGGGATAAAGCAAATTTTCCCGTAGGATTCTATATACTATGGTATGCGATAGTCCTACGCGGCGGCCTAATTCCCGAGTGCTGATATCTGCACTGATTTCCACGATATTTAAAATATAATTGTTCCTCCGGCTCTACAGTAACCTGTCTTTCACGTGTGCGAATATTAGTGGGCTGAACACTTCCCGTATCTAGAAGTCTTTGGTACACTTGCACAAATGTCCTACTGTCTGGGTGTACCTGCAAGGTTTGAACTCTGACGAGCTTCACCGTCGGCGAACTCTTGATTTGAGAACATTGTAAATAAACACGACGACGTACGAAAACAATAACTAACCACTGTTACCGTTTGCGATCGATTGCCGGTTCGATAAGAGTGATGAGTGACCGACGAGGTGTTGTCATGTGTGTCTTAAATATTCAATTTAATGAAACTTACTTACTGACTACAAATTTTGGCTTAACTTAGAAAGACTTAATGGCATTTATTTGTTAATTACCTAATTTAAAAACGTTTTAGATTAGATGATAAAAATTACTAAGATCGTGGTGATTGTGATCGATATAAAGCACTTAAACTTGTAAACTATAAAGCCATTTAGACAAAAATTTATTGACTTTTGGACCATGGGTCATATGATCTTTTTGACTTGTTCTGACCCCTCCCCCCCCTATTACTCACTTCAATAATGTCTACCATAACGTTTGCACCCTGTATAATTCTTACGAGTATTTCTTAACATTGTCAGTTTTCGTTAAAGCATTGAAGACAGGTATGTGTGGTTATTTGACCATAAACTATGCTGTTCCGTAATGATCACTTTCCGCCTTTTATCGTCGCCTAAAGATAGCTTTGGTGCAATTCCGATTCTACGAATATTTGACAAATCAAACGAGGAAAGTTCCCTACAATCTACGTGCCAATGAATTAGTTTTTTACTTCCCACGCCGGGTAAGACGCCTACAAGTGAGGAAGTATTTTAATCGCGAAACATTTCGAAAATGAGATATGTTTTTTAATTGTTATATGACATTTACATCACGAAAAAACATGTCATTCATGCCCCTTGGTCTGTCTCTTGGTTTGTCTGTCTGTCTGTCTGCTAACTTGGAAAGGACCATTCGGATTTGGGTAAAACTTGCACACAAGGTTACTACTATACCGAGAACGAAATTTTTTTGTAGTTTTCGAAAATCGGTCCTGCGGTGGCGGAGAAAAGGTTAAAACTTTATTTGTCAACGCTTCAGAGGCTCCTGATCATTTTTTCAGAAAAGATCTTTTGGGCTTAAACAACGGGATCAATGGTTGCAGGGGGTGGGGGTGAGGATAATAATAATAACTTTTATTCAAATTGCTTTGCGGATATGAAACGTCAACACGAAAAGGTTAGATTAACATAAGCAAAAGGAAAATGTACATGACTAAATTAGAATAAAATAGATAACGAGTTATGAAAACAGCATGCTTGCTTAGATATATAAATAGTTAAATAGAAGAAAAGAAAAAGTATGCAGCATAAATGTATAATAAGTAAGATAATAAAATAGATAAATATGTAATTATTTGAAGTTATAAAACCTTTGAGGTGAGTATAAATACTTAGGGTACAAGTATGTTGACAAATGTTTTCTGAAGACTTCTAAGTCGTTGATGGCTTTTAACTCGGAGCGCAAATTATTGAAGATAGATCCACATAGGTAGTCAGGGCTATTACGGTGTGTGCTGAGGCTATAGTTGTTCAATGTAACGTTAGATTGTGTTTCTTGGACTATTTTAGGTAAGTGAATTTGGAAGGATATAATTTTGCATGATGGCACGCCTCTAGGATGAGTAATGATGCTAAAGTTAGTATTTTTTTATCTCAATGTTTTTCGACAAGCCTCTTGAGGATGCAATAAGAATAAGAGTCTTATAAGACCCCATTTCTTTTAGTATGAATACTTTCGGAGTGCGGAATGGTTTTCTCTAACCGGAAGGTAAGAAAAATCGTTCATTGATTTGGTAACTGGTATTTTGGGAGATTTTCAAAAATCACTGCTTCCATAGGTTTCTTCGTATCCATTCCACATAGTGTCTTGACCATATTTCGATAATAACTTAGCTACTCTTCACTCTCGCAGGGGATAATTCTAGTAATAGATGGCGCTGCCTTATTTCGATAGATCTCATACCTCTGATAGAGGATAGTTGTTACGTTTTCGTTCATTGCGTCAGAGATAGTGTATATATTTTGATGATTTGCCTTATTCTACTGCTGAAATCATTATTTCACAAACCAGTATCGAATGTTCCATCAGATATCTCCTCCAGTTAATGAATTGTAACTTGTGACATACATGAAAACCTTATCAGATTTTTAGCGAGTGTGCGACAGACTAAAAGCTTTACTTCTGAAACACACTGCCCATCGAATTGTGAACCTCTTTTTCGGTCCAACTTATTGGTACAGAACGACCCAGCCCAACTAACAATTATCACTCCTATTAGAGTTGCAAGAATTATTATACAGTATTCCTTACACAGCATTGTATACTGTAAGAACATTAGCAAAACCCTCTTAGAACTGCTATACAAGCGGAATGCGCACACCCAATAGGACACTTCAGTCATTTAAGAGGTTGCATAAGGGCTGCAGGTAACAGTTATACAACAAAAGTGTAAGCCTCTTGCAGCCGCTATAGGATATTTGCGTCAGTGCAAGATTCAGTTTTTGTCAACTACACAACTATTCTGTTACGTGATTCTACTTTATTGCAACCAAACTATTTCTTATGTATTGTATACACGAAGTAAAGAATATATAACTAACACAATACAGTCATCTTGTTTACTTACATATTGGCCATTGTGAATTTCATACACAGGTATATGATAAACTTCTACACTGTGATATAGGGCTATTGAATTACTTGCGCACCAAATTTTATTGTGATTATCGTGCAAAGTAGTTACGCATTGTCTACGGGCTTCGTATTTGATTCATATACTAAGTGACATACAAATCCGAACACCCAGTTTAAATGGTTTTAATTTAATAAAATTTTGTATAAGTACTTAATGAAGCATAATAAGTAAATGATAAAAATTTCAAAATGATTGCACTGCTTCAAAGCCCTTTGACCTTTAATAATGTGTGGATGTGCTACGCATTCTCCAACGCGCCTAGGCATGCTTCTGATCAGGTGGTCAATGTCCTCCTGTGGTATCTCATTCCAGGCAACCACCAACTCCTCTCGAAGTGCTTCTAGAGTCTGAGGAGGACGTTGCAAATTGAGCAATCTCCTACCCATCATATCCCACACGTGCTCAATTGGGGATAAGTCGGGAGATCTCGGTGGCCATGGTAACAATGTGACATCATTATGTTGAAAGAAGTCTATTGTGACTCTTGCAACATGTGTTCGGGCATTATCTTGTTGGAAAGTTGGATCTGCCAGGGTGTCAAGATAGGGTAAAAGATGGGGTTCTAGAACTTCGTCGATATAACGCTGCGCGTTCATGTTACCTCTGATGAAGATTAAAGGTGACCTGGAACCATAAGCTATAGCACCCCAAACCATAACTCCAACAGTGTGATGAAGATGTCTTTCAACAAAAAACTGTGGATTCCTCCTTTCACCACGTCGCCTTCTAACCCTGGCACGACCATCGTGCATGCCTAAACAAAATCGAGACTCGTCACTAAAGACAATACTGTTCCATTCCTGATCCCAGAGTGAGCGTTGTCTGCACCACTCAATGCGATTACGTCGGTGTTCTCGAGTTAAAGGGAGGACCCAGTGTGGCCGGTATGAAAACAAGCCAAAACTTCTCATTCGTCGGTAAACACTTCGCATGCCAATAGGTCTTCCGTGTTCTGCAAA